GTATACTTGAATTAACAATGTTACTAGCCACATTTAGTGACCTAATTGACTTTCCCCTTGAAATATTCTTACATCGGACTCCTTCATCTTCACCGTCCTTGCCAAATTTAAGGTGTTCATCTTGAATGGGTACAATTTCAGAAGTCTCTAAGGTGACCTTCTTGTTTGTTTTCATTATTTGGTCTGTCTGAAGCCCAAGATGTGAGGATGTTTCTCTGGGGATCAATTCTTTCTTTAGTGGCAGATCTGTTTGTGGATCTGTCAGGAGAGTTCTATGCAATAGATTAGTCACCAATTTTATCTTTTCAATGCTAGAGCTTGGGATCAGGTGCATGAATAAGTACTTGGCAGGTTATATTGGAAAGGTTTGTGATTCCTAGTTTGGCCATAACTGTCTGTACAAAAGTTAGCCTGGTTTTCTCATTATTGACTGATTGATTATTTGTTTAACAAATTTATATTAAACACCTGAAATATTACAAGAATTTTACTGAGCACTGAGTACAGTATATCAGGATAAAATACCTAATCATTGTCTGGGGAGCAGCTCATTGTTACTTTTTTTCCTCTCTTTTTTTCTTCCCAGTTCTTCTTCCTGCCCTTTCTTTCCCTTCTTTGCATAGAAGAACCTGCCTTTAACATTCATGAAGTCTGGGGTAAGAGTACAAGTAGAAAATTACCTATTATGTGTCTAAATATTTAAAAATGATAAGACAAGCTTACAAACTGTTAAAATATTTTTTATTCTCCTACGTTGACAAATATACCCTTGTAATGAGGGAGAAGTGTTCAAATTTAGAATTCTCAGACTCCTCAGAATTTTGAGCTAGAATATGGTGGTTCTGGGAGAATCCATTCCTGGTACCCACACTTGGCTCCCTCCTTTTTTTTTCTCATCTCTGGTTCCTCCAGTTCTTGGAGGGGCTTCACAAAAGTGCATGTTATGGAGCTTGCACGTCCATGTTCTGTCCAACGTCACTCTCCCACTTCCTGCAATCAGCAACCATTGGCCACACTGGAAGCGTGTATATCAGTTTGGTCAGTTGTTGGGAGGACAGGCCCTGGAAGGAGGCCTAGGCAGGCACTGGAAATCACTCAGGAGTATTTGGGAAGGGAATTTTAAGGTCTTCCACTCCCAGAGCATGGTTAGGCAGGGGGCTAGTGGGCAGGCTTTTAGTGGGCATGTCCCTTTGGCCCCAAGGGGAGGGATATAGTTAGAAGAGAGAAGGGCCTGAGTGGAACCCCTCATGAATGTGGCATCCTCTAAAGTTGAGGTCCCTCTTCTCTTGGTCTAATTGTGGTTCTGCTTTTACTTGCCTGCTTATTTTGCTAATTCAACATGTATTAAGCACCTCCATTAACTGCAAGGCATAGTAGGTACTATGTGTGTTGGTGCAAGAAAGGAAGAATGAGGAAAATGTAAAGAAAACTTGTTTTTGCCTCATCTAGTCTCACTTAGTTTCTCTACTGGTATTTATGGACAGGCTGCATATCTCTTAGATTATGCTTCTTTGAAGGTGTCTACGTCCAATCTTTGTCATGAATACAATAAAGGACATTTCTTGTCTAGAATTTTCATGGTGCTTAAGAACACTACTGATTAGAGCCTGCTATGTCAGGCTGTGAGCAGAACAGACTGAGTGAAATTTAAACATGCACATATTACATGTAAATGGGATTTAGGCTTTATACTTGAGATATAATTCCTAATTTGAGAAATCTTTTGCATCCATTTTAGATTATGCTTTAATAAACACAGATAAAATTATCTGTGTCAGAATCTAATTTTATTTTACTCTTTCCTGATGATGAGTTAAGGGAGTTCAGAGGTAGTTACAACAGTTGACTTCTGAGCCTAATGATAAATATGCAAATGCATGCTAAAATAGAAATCCAATTTGAACTAATTCAAGTGAAAGCACATAGAGAAGATTAGCTTAAATGGGTACTTTCTATTTGTCTTTTTTCTATATGGAGAGTGGAGAATCAAAGACAAAGTTTGTAACTGAAATAACGTTGAACACATCCAGGTACTTTCCAAACACCTTGTACTTTTGTGAGGCATTTGGGGCAGCTATTAGGTTATGTTGTGTTTGTCTGGGAGGAAGCATATCTGGTAGTAAATCCCTCTAGATAATCCTAAAATAGGGAATAGATAAGCCAAATAGGTAAAGATAATCGAGGAAAAATACTAGTAAGTATTCCATGAAGAAGGATACTTTAAGAATAAGCAAAGGCAGTTGGCAATAAAATCCTTGAAAAATGTGCTATGGGCTTTTGAGAGAAGAAAAGTATGAAAGGAAGCAGCATTTCCAAAACCAAATCTGAGTGAAAATTGGATAGGAGATCTCTGGGACTGTGCCTTGATTGCTTAACCTGAATAATTGTACAGAGGGAAAACTTTCTGGGTATTTGTTGTTGAATAATTTAGTTTACCCTGCTGATTGAAAAATGTCTAACCCAACACCAAATTGGCTTTAAATTGTTTCCGTATTAAGACCAATGAGAACAATTTTTAAGTTTATTGTGGTTTCCTTTAAATACATTTCAGCTTTTTCTATAAAAATGGCTCATTTGGCAATTGAATAAGGAAATTTGATTAAAATGACTAACGTTTAAATAATCAAAATATTAAAAAAAAACTTCATGAGATTCATAAAAAGCCTACTTGTATGGTCTCATCCTTGGAAATCATTAGCTAATGTTCTAACGATCAAATAACAAATACATAAGTGGATTAAAGAAACATAAATGCAAACTCATTGAAATTTAATTTACTTTAGATAAAATCACATATATATTTGAATATTGAATTTTAATGATGTAAATATTTTAGAGAGAAAGCAGGAGTTTGAGAGTAAACATAATAAATTAATTACAAGTTTATAAGAAGTTATCCCTAGGTATCCCTTATTCTTTACTATTGGCTTTTGGTGGAGCATACATAAAAAATAACATTGTAAATCTCTCTCTTTCTTTTTGTCTTCTTTAGACTTTTTTTTTTCTCTGAGTGGGTAAAACCACTTTAGAATGTGTACTTCTACCTGGATGAATCCTCTTCTCTTGGGGTTGTGGATGGCAGTGTTTTGAAGTGTAGCCATGGATGGTTTGAGGAGCATAAATTTGTGAAGAAGGAAAACAGTCCATGTTCCTTTCTATTCCCTACCTCAAAGAGCCAAATTTCCTGTTTATATTTTAATTTATAATTTATATATACTTATTTCTAACTACAATTTAAGATTCCAAGGGCACCTTTACCTTAAGACCATAAACACAGAAATAGAAAATCAATGTGTGGAGGAGGGGAAAAGTCTACTAAAAACTTGGGTTAATATCAGTGCAGTGTTTATGCTGAAGCATGAAATCTAGCCATTCTTTTCCAACTCTGTGAATTTGGATGTAGGACTGGATCTACATTGGATCGAGAAAATGAACAGTTTAGTCAAAGCTTTTGAAAGGTTCCAAGTAAATAGAAATAAAGTTTTTTTAAAAGGGCAAATAAATTCATATGTGTTTATGTGATTTGTATTACCTGCACTCACATAAGATTGTGTTGTACTTGGAGGACAATTTATATATTTATTAAAGGAAGGGACTTGGCTTGGTAGTGAGAAAGTTATCTTCCCAATGAACTTTCCGGTGGTAAGACCCAATTAAAATTCAATTGATTTAGGAAATTGTTTGATGTTTAATGAAATCAGCAAGAAGCTAGCGATGATAATGCAATACTTCTGAAGTTCACCTAGTGAAGTGTTAGAATAGCTAAGGAAAGTAAATATCATTTCCTTGCCCTCCAAGTCAGATCTCGATATCATGCAATGGGTCTAGGGGCAGGGCCCACATTAACTTACTTTATATACAGAGTTTCATATTTATCATTAAAATTCACTTAAAATTTATATTCTATCTCATAATATATCTGCAATTCTCTTGATGTTAATAGTATGTTTTAATATGACATCTAGTAATATTTTAGAAATGTACTGTGTTTATCCTGGGGTTCCTTATTTCTCTAGAATCACCTTCTATTCTCCTGAGGATACTCATACCATGATTGGAGAATCATTGTCCTGGAGGATAGTTCCATCGCACTGTGATGATTTTGTAAAATGCCCTTTTTAACCCCAGGGATGGTTCTATCCTGGGAAATAATTTTCTAGAAGTACTTGGTGGTGCTGGCGACACAAAGAGCCATTTATCTCCAGGATCATCTTTTTCAACACTTGTCACTACAGTTCTTCGAATTACATAATTTTTTTTTTTCTTTTCTTGCTTTAGCCTGAAAACTCAACTACAAGTTTATGACAGCTTCAGGGAGAGAAAACTGCAGAAATTGACCTCGCTTTACTGTTTTAATCATTTTTCCCCCTTCGACAGCAATAACGAAAAATTATTTTTTCTTCTATTGCTATGGTACACTCCCAGGGAATCAAAGAAGCACAGGCATGATTTCTGCTCTTAACCTACATAATACAGTAGAGAAGATAGATAATACACATGGAAAGATACATAATTATAACAGGTAGCAAAACACAAATGATATATTTTAAAATTAATTCTTTAAGTCAACAAATGCATACTATGTGCCTACTCTTGATCAGGCATTGGGCAAAGCCATGGGGGAGATCCAAAGGAGAATAAAATGTTCTTACACATGAACATAATCTAATGTGACATAATTAATATGGCAATTGATGTATGTGGAACCTGCTATGGAAGCACAAGAGAGAGATCTTTGGGAGATTTTGCGAAAGCAAGAAAGGGTTCTCCATTTTACTGAGTGCATCTGTTCTATTTTTGGCATCACTTCTTTTATTTTCTAACTAACTCCACAGTCTGTTACAGGAATCATTCTCTCTCCAGTTTCTTGGAATTTTGTCCTCTCTTTGGATGAATTCACCTTTTCATCTTCTCAGCTCTTAGGATTGGATTATGAAATGGGAATGATGTCAATGCAATTAGATGAACTTAAAATTTTGTTCTCCAATCTCCAATGCTGCCAGAAATTCTTTACACATCCCACATAAGTTTCCTCTTCTATTCTCAAGAGCAGCTAATATGAATTTTTATTATCATCCTCAATCCAGTCTCAGTTCTTCTGTCAGCAGGCAACTTTCTTTGCTTCACAAAAAAGATTTAGAAATCATTAGTATGCAACACCAGTGTTTAAAGAAACATAAAGGTATGAGAAACATATTTTGCCTTGGATAGGGCAAGAGATTCAATGTGACTGAATGGGGTGGAGGTGGAAAGAGAAAGGGATCAGAGATGATGAAGGCACATAAGGGAAGAAACACAGAGAGGGGGCCGCTGAAAGAAATGTTACAGGAGTTCAAAGGAAGGTGAGATCACGGAGGGTCAGGACAGAAAGAAAAATCATCTCAGAATTGTAGCATTTTGGAAGTTATATGAGGATCTATATTTTGTTTGAAAAGACAGATCTTAGACAAGCAGAGAGATATGGGAAAGAATTCTCGACACGGGAAATGAAATGAATTATGGCTCTTATGGCTTGGATGCCAGAATATACTGGAATTCTTCCTTTTCTAGTAAACGCTGTGTCCCTCTTTAACCTCTGTACATGTTTAAGCATTTTTTTTTCTGGTTCATTTCCCATAATGAATTGTGTGAAGAAAAGTCGTTACCAAAAATTTGCCTAAATCATTAAAAAAAAAAAAACCCTGAAGAGAATATTTTGCTTTTAATAGAAATTTTGTTTGATTAAAAGTAACTTAGGAAAAATGGGAAGAATGACCATTTTTGTTCATAAATGTAGACTAGCTAGTACATTTTGGGCTGCATGGTATTTTGTTTATTAGCTCCCTGTCAGCCTCTTTTCTTGCCAGCTGAAGTATAGTAGTATGATTTTGTTCCAAATTTTACACTTTGCCAAAGGTTTGTTTCTCAGCTGCATTTTGGGAACAGCTGTCAGCTCCAAGCAATCTGATTGCTTTTCATGAATGATAAATCACTTCCCTGTACACTGATTTGTTTAGGTACAATAGGAAGAGACGTCATTCTGCCTGGCATGTTAGCAGAGGGATTGGTAAGATGAGGATGGTGGGGGAGAAGTGTGAAAGTTCTAGTAGGCGTTTCCTTAGTACTTAATGTTCAATTAATGTTAATTTCATTTCAATTGAATAATGGAAAGAAATTCTCTTTATTTGCAGTTCTGAAGAAGCAAGAAAAAGCAACAGTTTTTTTTTCTGTAGGAGCCATAATAAAGTTACTACTGGGTTATCTGTTTGAAAATAAAAAGAAAATATTCTTTGGGATCACACATTCTTTTGTTTAAAAAATTGTCTATACAAGTTGTAAGGGTTAAAGGGGTGTTAGAAGTTACAAAGAGAAAGCTTCAGTTTCTTTAAAGTATCCAATTAGTGAGACTCAGCAGTCCATGAAAATATTTATCAAATTCCCAGCTCAGCTAAGACCTTATCTGCTCCAGCTTTCCTTGCACAAAATCACAGAAATCTACATTTGCTGCTTCACATTCCAGGGGAACAGGGGGAAACCTGGAGAGGGTAGAGGAATCTCATCTTTCATGTATTATGTTTATGGCTTCAATTTTAGTTTTGGAATAAAAGTTTCGAGGTGAGAGGCAAGGGAATTCAAAATTTTCTTTTGCCTTGAAGTTTGTTTATGACGGTGTTGTCCCTGTGTTCACTTCTGGTAGGCTTGTGTCCACATCTTTCTGTGAGAGACTCGGGCAATCTATCTGCCTAGCTCCTCTTGAATATAAAAAAGGTAATCTTCAAATCACAGATTTTTACTAAGAACAGTAAATGGCCTGCAATGGCATAACAGTGTTTTTTGGACCCTCAATTTGTAAAAGTATGTACTTTCACTGTAAGCATTGGACCCCATGCCCTCATTCTGTGAGCCCCCAGCCTCTGTAGAGGCTGCTTGGGAGCTGGTGGCTCCAGCCAAGCTGACTCGGTACAATCAGACAAAGCTGAAAACCAATTGGCATCATTCCTCAGCTGGATGTCAGCAGGCCAGGCACTTACTGCAGGGATGCTCTTTTATTTTAATAAGTAATTTATTTAATGAGCCGACAATGGCAAAATGTCAAATATAGAGACTTCAAAGATGAACAGCACGATTACAAGGAGCAGGAAGTCTACGGGATTTGCGATATTCAGCATCCTCAGAAATGATGTTCCTTTAGCTGATTTCAAAATCACTTGGCACCTGATTTAAAAAAGGATCTCTGCCATTAGTCTTGAGAGAAGTAATGTCACCCATATTGCATTTTAGAGTTAGTAAAATGAAAATGGCAGGTTCTGGATTTAGACAGTGTAAGGTAATATGCATGACAGATCATCATATTTTGTGAGAAAGAGAGGTAGGGGCCCATATAACTGGCCCAATGGAACATATCTCCACTTGCCTTGTCACCCACATGGCAGCATCTGATGCTTGCCTTCAGGGTGGGCAAGGAAGAGGAAAGAGCCCTCCACTGTGGTTCTGTTATCAATTAGAGTTGTGTACTTGGATGACTTACTTCAGACTCTGATATAGTTCTTCTCTCACATTAAATGGATGGGTCTGCATTTGAAGAAGTTCAAGTTCCTTTCCAGATTCTGAGATATGATTCCCCTGAAATTAATAGCCCTTCAGTGTACAAATGTGTTCATTAATTCCCTAATTATGGTTGGTCGTGAGTTCAAATCCTATAAAAGTGATAAGCCTCAATTAACTTGAAGGTAGAATATAAAAGTTTATATAATTCTATGGACCCAACACTAATTTAACAATTACCCATTGAGTACTTACCTGCCAGCTACTATTTTAGGTATTGGATGTATGGCAATGAACAAAACATCTTTGCTATCGGAAAGCTAACTTTCCATTAGCTTACTGACAAAGTTAGCATCAGGTAGCTCTAATTCACACTTTGAATGAGTATTCCTACTAGAAGCCTGTATCAAAATTCTACTTTTTTTTTTTTTTTTTTCCAACTAAAAAAATGTTGCATCGTGAATTGTGCTGTGTCTGATGTGTTTATCTGGCAAATTCTTCAGTCATTTAAATTAGTTTCTTCTTCCTATGTTAGAATTTAATTAAAACTCATATTGCTTAATTCTTCTCTTCTGACTCTGGAGGGCTCTGCAGTATGCTCATAATTCTTTCTAGGCCCAAATGCAGGGACGAAAACCTGTTTCTACTTGCAGTCTGAGGTTCTGTGCTTGAGCCTGTTCTGTACTGCTCCTCTCCTGGCAACGGTGCATAACTGCGAGAAACTGATTTGCACATGGTGCTGGCTGGCTTTGCTTCTGAAAGGAATAATGTGCATGGCTAGTCTCTGATTGATGTGTGGGAACTGCCATTTGGGGGTGTATAACACTCTTTATTTTCCACCTACTTAGAATTCTAAGGCTCAATGGCCAACATCTGTCGTTCTTTACGTTGAAATTTTTCAATTACCTTTTTTTATGATTATAACAGTAATGTTTATTATTAAAATTTAGAAAATATAAAATGTATAATAAAGAAAAATAAAATAAGCCATAATCCCATGACTCTGAGTTAACCATTATTAGCCTTCTCTTTGCATATATTTTATAATATATATAGTTTTGTATTATGTTTTTTTTGTCCTTAGCAGTATGTTGTGAGAATATCCCTGATAATATTAAAAATCTTTGAAGATCTAATTTTAATGGTTATATGATATTTAATTTTATAGCTTTATTGTAATTTGTTTAACCAATACCTTATTGTTGGATGTAGTTCCTAATTTATTATTCTTTTAAAATATCGTGGGTAATAGCCTTGTTAATGTATTCCAGATACCTCCCTAAGTAATTTTTTAAGAAAAATTTCAAGAAATAAAATTATTGGATCACATGACATACATGTTCTAAGGTTTCTGAAACATATTACTTAATTATTGTCTAGAATGGTTCAGAAAATATATTCTTGTTGAATCATGCATTCACTTTTTAGAAAAATCTATATCAATTTGTTAGGCAAAAAAGTATTTCACTATTGTATTATTTTCCAGTTGTTAGAACCCTAGTGAGAGTGAATATGTGGGTCACATGTTTATTGGTCATTTGTTTTCGTTATTTCTCTCTATTATCTCTGCTACATTATCTATTTTTCTGTTGTGTGGAACACTGAATAATGGCCTCCCAATGAAGTCTATAATCTCATCTTTAAAACATGTGAATTTGTCATTTTACCTGGCAGAAGAGATTTTGCAGATGTGATTAAATTAAGGACTTTGATAGAAGAGATTATTTTGGATTATCCAAGTGGGGTCATTGCAAGAGGGAGGCAAAATGGTTGGAGTCAGAGAAGATGTGATGATGGAAGCAGAGGGCAGAGAAGAGAGGACCTGAAGATATTACATTGAAGGCTTTGAGGACAGATGTAGATGGCCTCTAGAAGCTACATAAGGCAGGGAAAGGGATTCTTTTCTAGAGAGGTCCAGCCCTGTGGACATCTTGGCTTCAGCCCAGTGAGACAGACTTTGGACTTCTAATCTCTAGAAATGTAAGAAAATAAATTTGGGATGTTTTAAGACACTAAATTTGTAGCAATCTGTTATAGCAGTTGAATACAAATACAGTATATTTTTATTATTCTCATTGATATGTAAATACTATTATACAATCAAGTTATTAACTTGTCATAAATGTTACAAATATTTTTTTCCCAGTTTTGCAGTTTGCTTTTAAATATTTTTATGGTGTTTTCTGATATAGAGTTTTGTTCTTAACTTTTAAAATATTGATGTTACATTAGATAAGTTTTATTTCAATAGTATACAAATTTTAAAAAATTATGCAGTTAAATCTATGTATCTTTTCCTTGGTGATATATTCTATTGCTTTTAAATCAGTTTTATATTCACCAATGTTACTTGCAGCATTTTTATGGTATGTGATTTTTCATTTATTATTCTTTATTAAGTTTTTGTATATTTTTAGTCCTATTTCAGGGCTATCTAATCTGTCCCATTAATCTGTCAAGTCCTGTGCTATTACTACACCATCTAAATTATTGTAGTTTCATAAAAGTTTTTATATCTGGTAAGCCAAGTCCTCATCCATTACTCTTTTCATTAATGTTTTTTACAGCTGGCCTCAACATTTTATTTTTCCAGATGA